TTTGAGAGAGAGAGAGAAACATCAGTATGTTGTTCCACTTATTTACGTATTCATTGGTTGCTTCATGTATGTGCCCTGACTGGGGATCAAACCTGCAACCTTGGCGTATTAGGACAACACTCAAACCAACAGATCTAACCTGCCAGGACCAGGTGTGAGCCCCTTCAAAGATGGACCCAGTCTCCTGAGCTCACCACACCAGTATCTGCACAGGGTTGGACGTAGTCAGGGTAATAACTCAGTGCCCTGCAGCTTCAGGCAAAGGAAGGCAGAGTAACAGGGCCAGAGGCAGGAGTAAGAAAGGCTTCAGGATAGAGTGATGGGGAGGGGAGTTACTGAGAACCAGCCGTGGAGAGACCGACAGCAGCCTTCTTTATTTTAATCGTTATTTATTCTGGCAGAGATAAAGGGTAAGTGCCACTTTGAGATGCTTTTGGCAGAGAAGTTACTCCGTCACAGCAGGGAGGAACAAAGGATTGAGGAGGAGGATTTGCGGGAAATTTTTAATCTCTTCCAATGAGGGAAGAAACACATAAGTTCATTCAGTAATTATCACATTTCACAAAACCTTAGAACGTAATTACTGATTTCAGATTAGTTATAATTAACTTATATGCAACAAGTTTGGTTAATTTCTCATTTGTTACTATTATACTTATTAGATCTTAATACTATACGGAAATCAAAATTAAATGCAACCAGCGGACACCGTCTGACGGTGCAGGAAGGACTGGCGCTGGCCCAGGAAGCTTCGTCACTGTTTACGTCTGTTGACTCGTGTTCACTGCGTCTCTTTTAAACTGTCTGGAGAGTAGAGCCCCCCAGTAACCAGTTCGCGGTTTGGGGGGGCGTGTTTGTTTTGCAGCAGTAGGTCTGATACTAACTGGTAGAGCAGAGATCAAATTACCTTTTCAGGTTTAAATCCTTTATAAGTAGAAATTAATGTACTTCCAAGAGAGACTGTGGCTGACTTGCAGGTTCCATTTTTGTTCTCATCAAAAGCAAGCAGTGTTTACCTTTACAAAGGCCTGTGAAACCCGTTTTAAATGCACGGTTATGGTTGGGGACTGAACCGTGAGTGTACGCTGGTGGTGGGGGAACAGATGAGAAAATGAAGTGAAAACCAGCACGTGCCTCTGAACCCTCTGCTTCTGTCTTCAGTGTCTCGGTCGCACTGTTTACCCACGGCCGAGCCGGGTTGAGTCTGCCCCTGGGTCATCCTTAACCCGTCCTCCTTCTGTCCGTTTCCTTTGTTTACCTTCAGCTGCCGTCACCCCTTCCTCAGCGGTTCCCTTCCCTTGGATCTAGTTCTTGATGTTGTCGTTAATTTTTCTTCTGAAACACAGCTCTCACCCTGTCAGTTTCCATCGTAAAATGGTTACAACTCAGAGCTGTCTAGGGAAGAGAGCAGCACCAGTGGTTGCCCAGCTGGCTTCTGCCCACAGTGCTGTTTTATTGCGCCTTACAGCACTTTTTCTTCTACTGAGCTGATATTTAAAATGTAAAAATCAAGAGATTTTACATAAAAATCTGAATTTTTGGCTTTTCTTGAAAAACTGGAAGATCTGGCAACCCTGGGCCCCACACCAGCAGCAATCCGCTGGAGCCGAATGGTTGTTCCTTTTACATGGGGGTGCATCTCCGCACTGCCCCGCCTCATTCCCTGCCTGGGGCTGATTACTGCTTGCCCCCTTTAGTAGGACATAGAAGCTGGCCCCTGCTTGCTTGCTTTCATTTTCTTTTTAGAGTGGGGAAGGGAAGGAGAAAGAGAGGGAGAGAAACATCAATGTGTGGTTGTCTCCCAAGCGCCCCCTACTGGGGGCCTGGCCCACAACTCAGGCAGGCGACCTGAGTGGGAATCGAACCAGTGGCCCTTCGGTTTGTAGGCTCACAGTCGACCCACTGAGCCACGCCAGCCAGTACTGGTACCTGCCTTCTTGGCTTATTTAAGGCACCTAAGGCCCCTGTAGGCAATTTTCCACACTGGTCAGTTGGTTTACCAGATCCTGGCCATCTCATTCCATATCCTGGTTGTGTCTTAAACTATAGTCTAGCCATATTGGATTCCTGCTACACCTCAGATGTATGTGAATATCTTCTTATGCATATAATTGCGATCCTGCCCCTCTTAAACTGAAAGCTTGAAGACAGCTATAGATATATGTCCACCTAAACCCTGGACTGGAAGTTCTATGAGGGCCTGTTCCTAACACATTGATCTCCTGGGCTTTTCCTGAGGCCCCATGGTCTGTTATTCCTCTTTGCCGTTTGATATACTATTTCCACTTCCTGAAACATCTTCACCTCTCCACTGGTTCCTGTACACACCAATGTTCCATTTGAACTTCTGCTTAGCCAGAGTTTGTCTACTATCACCACCTCTGTAAATCCTTTTCTGACACCTTCAGGCAGGATAAATTCTCTGTGTTTCTGTGCTCCCTTAACATTTGGTATATATACCTACCCCCCCCCCCCCCAATACTTACCACATGGTGTCGTCAAGAATGTGAGCAGCTCAGGGCAGGGACTGTATCTTATTCCTACCTTTACTGCCCTAGCACCGTGATGCCCAGAAAAGGTTTGTTGAATGAATTTGATAAAAGTCAGACGTATAATGGTTACATACTAAAGCACTGATTAACTTTTTAAGGGTGACATATGTCCCCCATACTCCCAGGTAAGGATGTGGGGAAGCTGGTGATAAGTAGCGCAGCTGGGCACAGCGGGAGAATTTACTGCCTCAGAGTGATCAGTTTCTGTTCGAATACGTCCCCTGGTTGTTTTCATACAACTCATCGGTTCTTCCTTGTTGCTCGTTTCCCACGTGTCCAAATCTCACATGTTTTTTTCCAAACTCAGCTAGTCCTGTGATGTTTCTCGCTTTGTTCACAGAGGGCTGGTTTTCAAGTTCGGCCGCACCGAAGACCTGTGGCAGTGAAGGCACCTGGTTACTGCTGCTGCACAGCGGCCCTGCATGGTGTTTTGTTTTTTGTTTTTTTTTTACTACCAATTTTTTTGTAATGCCATTTCCTAAACTTATTTCTGAGTGTAGTCTCGGCTTCAATTTGTGTGATACTAAAATCATGAGAGATCCCTATTTAAATAACAACAAAAATCTATTGTGGTATGCATTTGAGTAACTTATAAAATGTTGAAAAATATTTCACACGAGTAATTTTTATTGTTTTATCATGGTATAATTTGTAAAAATAAAAATAAATTACAAAAGAAATTATGGATGTACCTTATGAGTATTTGTCATATCCAGGGTCCAGAAATGCCCCGAAGATACGTGTGTGTTTAAATGTGGGCTCTTCTGTGTCAAATACTAAGTGAAATACAAACATTTTCTTGTTTTTATAAACTAATCAGTGGTCAGGAGTCTGTTTTTTCATTGTTTACGCTATTACAGATGTCAGTGGTCAGAGTTCCTTCTCACTGTACTTTGTTTCAGTTGTGCCAAAAATTCTGAAAACATTTCAGTGTAAGTAGTTGTTAAGGGTCTCCCAGGGGGTGAGTGAGCGTGTCGGGATAGAACAGCTCCTGATCCAGCCACCAGGCTCCTCAAAAGTGTCCCTTGTGTGCCACTGACCTGGCGAGGGTGGGGGAGGTGGTAATGACTCAGCTGTGACACATGGTGCTGGTGGGGACACGCAGTCACTCCACATCTGCCATTGATGGAAAGAAGAAAAGCATAAGGACTTGACGCTGTACTCAGGTGACGAATTTTGTTGGTTTGATAATAAGTTGGATCCCATGTTTCATTGTGTCTCTGAACTGAACCGCCACTAAGCTCAAAACAGACCAGCCAGGTCAGTCATATTTATCAACAGTAACTACTGGGAATTCTTGTAGTGTGCTCCTCTTTGGAACTCTGTTATCGCCCAGGCTCCCCACCTCGGCACATGGGGTTTTTTGTTTTAAGGAACTAGCTAACTAGGGGATATGTGTTCTTCAGACCTACAGCTTGAAATGTTTTCTTTCATAAAACTTACTGCAATTAGCCCTTCATTAAACACAAAATATCTCTCAGATGACTTACATCTCTCTTCCATGCCAACCATAGTTATCTCCCTGTTTGCAGTAAGCTTTGGATACGGCCTGGTCATCTGGGTGCTACTGGAAGAGGTGCGGTTGCTGTCATCTCACAGAAATCGGTCACGGGGAGTTTTTAGATCCATAGGATGTGAGAATTGGACGGGGTCTTAGAGGCTGAAGGCCACATTCTCTTTTTATGGATGAGAGACCATGGACGTTCAAATGATTTCCTTAAGGTCATGGAACTAGTTGAAATGATTTCCTGAAGGTCATGCACTAGTTTTTTAACATTGAGGCAGTGCACCTCCACAACTGACCACAGTTTCCTTCCCCACAGTTAAATTCCGCATGTGCTCCGGGAATAAGAGCTACCTTGAAACTGCTGAAATAAAAGCATGACGTCTGCAGGACTAAATGTAAATGAGTTCTTAATTTTGCCCTGGCTGGTGTGGCTCAGTGGATTGGGTGCTGGCGTGTGAACCAAAGGGTGGCGGGTTCAATTCCCAGTCAGGGCACATGCCTGGGTTGTGGGCCAGGTCCCCAGTAGCAGGCACACAAGAGACAACCATACATTGATGTTCTCTCCCTCCCTTCCCCTCTGTCTAAATAAATAAATAACAAAGTCTTAAAAAAAAGATAGTTCTTAATTTCACTACTTTTTATCTGCTCTGCTGGTTGTAGACAAGAGTTAACTGGGTAGGATACTTTATTAAGCATGAAAAAAAAAAATCTAAGAATTGTGAAAATTGAACCAAAATCTTAATTTTATGTTGCTTGCACCCAAGGAAATACTGGTAGCATCATTTTTAATGAAACCAAACATTCACTTAAAACTTATGAAATTACCACTTAGACAAGTTCTTAGTCCTTTATTTTAAATACCAAATCTGTCTCTGACCTTATTTTGTTATACACGAGGGGACCGCGGTAACGAGTGTGTGTTCAACACACACACACACACACACACATGCACAAATGTGGGCAACAGTAGAAGGAAGCTCTCGTGTTTTGGAACAGGCCTTGTTTTTCTTGGATACTTTTGCTTAAAATCCAACAGCCAAATGAGGAAACTGTAAAAGCAAAGCAAACATTTTATTACAGATGAACCCTCTACTCTTAAAATTTGTACACATATTGATTCTGGCTTGATCTTTTGAAATTTACATTGACACGCATGTCTCATAAAATCAACTGGAAGAGTTCCTAGACAGACCTCATTTTGTATAGCTCTTCACATGGAGCATTGCTAAACAGTCATCTGGCTTTATTTGAACACCTCTGGTGACGATGGACTCACTACCATTTAAAGGAGTTCACTGCATTTCCCAGACAGTTCAAACTGCTCATTTACACCCCAACACCCACTGGGCCTTGGTACATTCTTTGGAAAAGCATTTAAAAAATCTTTTCTTCTGCATGACAGCTTTCTAAGTGTATGAAGATTGTTCTTAGGTCTCCTCTGAGACCTTCTGCAAGCAGAATAGATCCTGAATCCTTCAGTTATGCCGCATTACAACATGACCGCTCATGAGGTTGTTCGGATCACAGAATTCTAGAACTGGACCTCAGAGTAGCAAACGTGTGTGGGGTGTTTCCTATGGATCAGTGTGCTTACACTTCACACACATTCTCTCCTCTAAACCCTTACCCCAACCTAGTGAGACATCACTATTATCGCCTCCAGTTCAGAGATGGGGAGACGGGCGCTCCAAGAGATCACAGAGCTAGAGGTGGCACCCAGATCTGTCAGAATCCAGCATGTGGACTTTGATCTCACTCATGAGAAAACATGAGTACAAATGAGGAAACAGAGCCCCAGAGAAGTAAAGCGCCTTGCCTGCGGGCACCAGCCTACCAGGGAGGGATGAGCTAGGACTAGAATTCGGGTCTGCCTTCCCGAACAATGCTCCGTGCACTGGGCCTCTCCGAGAGGCCGGGAGTCACTGGCAGGCTCCTCCTCTGTTTTCCGGCTCTGCCTGAACAGTGAGCTCTTGTTGTGGCTGAGCGAGCATGTGCTGGGCCCTTCCTGTGTGTAGAACGTTTCTGTTCAGTCAGGAGCAGGGGTGATACCAGGGTGACAAGACTCGGTTTTGAGAATTTTGCATAAAACAGCAGGAGGCGCTCTTAACACATTTTGTCATGTTTTTGTGCCAGAACAGTGGTGGCGTTTATATTTCTTGGCAATAACATTATTTTAAAAAGAAACTGCAAATACTGATTCAGAAGCCAGTGGAGGGTCTTTGGCATCTGGCAGTCATTCAGAGTCCAGCTCGTGAGGTTCATCCTACCATTGCGCTGAACTCTAGAACATTCACGTTACCGCATAGTTTCCCCCACGGAAACCTGTGGGAGCTCCCAAGTTGCCCGAAGGGATGCTTCAGGGGGCTCTAGCCATCCTTCCTCCTTCTCTTCGCCCACTTTCTGCTGAGCCAGGTTGCTCTCGCTCTCAACATTCCCCTCGCAATGCCTTTCACTTCCTGTCGCTTGGCCAAATCCAACACAACTCCCACCCAATGTTCTATTCTCCCTGACCTCCCCAAACTCATGACCTCCTCCTCTGATTCTTCGAGCAGCTGCTGCCAGAATCACTCTTCTTAACAGGAAGAGCTGCGCACATGGAAAGAGCCAGTCCTTCCAAGTGGCCGAAGCTGCAGTTTCTTTGTTTATACCCCTACACAAACAACACTCGGAGCAGCGACTGAGCCACGGTAGTCCTGCAAAAACAGTTTCTCTCTTCAGAAAGGTTCGCTGTGGAGTTCATTTTCATAAGTGGATATCAGTGGGCCCTCGAGCTCTCGGAAAGCAAGAAATAAAATCCCTGGTTTATTAAACTGAAATAAAGAGTTGAAGGAAGTAATTTATTCTCTTAGTGAAAGCACAGGAAAAATTGTGTTGTGAACTGAATTTTTGTAAAGCAGCACATGGGTTAGGATCATTGCAATCTACAGGAAGACAGAGAATTCATGGATGCAGTTCCTTGAGACCTACAACCCTATTTTACATGGAGCTGCCTCTCTAGCACTCCACACGAGGGCTCTGTCACATTTTAGGTAACTCATCTGATGGAATTAGGGAGTGAACAAGCGCCTCGTGCCAGAACCGTCCCAGGGTGAGGTGGGTGCCCCATCCCGGCGAGCGCCAGGTGTGGCCCGGACAACCTGGGACAGGTGCATCCCTCCTGCCCCCCCAGAAGAAGTCTGGTTCTGTAAAATGCAAGAAGGGCATTCAGTAATGTTTGGAGTGTGTTTCTGGATGGTTTACAAGAAAAAAAAAATCACTCCTGGATTTATCAGCTCTGAACTTTTAAATTCTGCCTTCTGTAATGGATATTTGGCTTTTCAAGTGTAAGATGTAAGGGCTAGACTGCTGAATAAATGCTTATACTCGGCTGTGAGAAAGGAAATCAGGAGATGGGGTGGGGGCAGAAGTAGTTCTCCAGTAGGTGTCCCCCTCCCTCCACGCACACATGCTGTGTCCTTGGAGCCAAATGGATACCAGTCCAAATTCCTCCCCTTCCACTTACTACCGCTGTCATTCTGGATGAGTTACTCCTGGTCTTTAAGATGGAAACACTTACTCTTGCACAGGGTTGTTGCAAAGATAAGATCAGAGAATGTTAAACACATCCAGCACAAAAATGGAAACAGTAGGCTTGCAAAAAATAATGACAGCTAGTATGCTTACGCATTCCTTCGTGTTTGACTAAATACCTAGTAATAAATTTTCATATGGGGGTTTGCAATTTACCCAGTGTGTTGTAGTTACAGACGTCATTATCTCCTTTGATCTTCAAACAACCCAGTGCGGGAGAACAAACGTTACTATTCTTACTTTACCAATGAGAGGGGGTGAGGAACTTGCCTCCCGATTCCTTGTAGAGCGGTGGCTGGAGTCCAGGACCGCTCATTTCCCGTACACCCTCTGCTGCTGCAGTGGCTAGTGTTAGGTGGGGTGCCCCAGGTTTCCTTTACTGGTTCAGCAAAGATGTACTGCCACTCAAGTAACTGAGCTGGATATTTGTCCTGATTGTGGTACCCCTGGTTGGTTAGCACAGTGCTTGGTATTTGTATATAATAGTTGCTCAATAAATAGTTGTGGAACGAATGGGTGGATTAAACCAGTTTTCTGAGTCCTTTCACGAAATCACCCAGCTTCTCTGCTGGAAGGGTAGGAACACTCGCAGGGCGCTGGAAGAGACTGGTTGCCGGGACCGGCGACTGCAGAGAGCAGCTCGTGCAAGAGGAGGCAGGTCACACACCACGACGTGGATGGCTCTCCGAGTAACACGGAGCGAAAGAAGCCAGACGAAGAAGAATATATACCATGTGGTTGCATCTATATCAGTTTGTAGAAAATGCAAACTGGTCCATAGAGACGGAAAGCAGGTCAGTGGCTGCCTGGGGGTGGGATGGGGTGGGGTGGGAAGGGAATAGCTCCAAAGACTCCAGGGAAAATGTCTGGTGGTGATAAATATGTTTGTTATCTTGACTGTCTTCATGGTTTCCAGGGGTGTAGAATAGATGTCAATGTATCAAGTTGTAGACTTGAATATGTGTAGTTCATTGCCCTTTATACCTCATGAAACTGTCTGAAGAAGAAGAGGGAGGAGACAAGGAAGGAGAGAAGAGGCAGGCTCTCTCTGCAGGTTCTCTCTGTTTTGCCCCGACAGACTCGAAGGCCCAGGCCCATGGTGAAGATGGCTCTCTGTCCCGTCAGCGCTCAGTGTGCCTGCTCATGGGCAGAGTATGGGTTGGCCTGGGACTCCGAAGGCCTGCTTCTGGGTTGCGCCTCTGCCACCCGCAAAGTATGATGCTGGGCATCAGCCCGGCCTCTCTTGGCCCCAGCCTGCCATTTGTAACAGGCAGTATAGCTGCTCCCTGCTTGCCCAGCCGACCTCGGCTTCGATTGGGAGATTGCCTGGAGTGTCGTCAGAGTACTCTGTGAACTGCGAGTGCAGGTCAAAGAAAGCAGGGCAGTGGGGTGACGTGTCTAGCCCAGTCATGACAACAAATGCTACAATGTAACACAGATGCTCTCAGTCCAGTGACTTGTTTGAGCTCTGTGTCCCTGGCTAAATGACCCCAGACCTCTGTGCTACAGGTTTCCTTGTGTCCACCAGCTGTGATTCGTAAGAGTCGTTCTAGATTCAGTTCTGCTGCTCGATGAGAACTCGGTGAGTCCTGGCTCCACTCTGAGCGTCTGTCAAACAAGGGGATTAGACCCGCTGGTCTCAGCAGTCCTCTGGCTCTTGCGTTCAGGATTCTAGCACCTTTACATTAAACTGTGTGCCCACTCCCATGACTCCAGGTGGAGAGAAGTGTGGCAAGAGTCCGTTCTCTTATGCCTGGCCTTCCATGACTCTGAGGCATCAGGGAAATGGTAGCTTTTACCGCCTGCCTGCCCTCCCCCCACCACGTGCACACCATGGATTTGCTCCTCCCGTGTTTTGACTTTACTTCATTTTCTCGTGTTTTTACTTTACTCTCGTAAACACCGAATGGACCTGTGGGCCCAGATATCTTTTTAAGTTCATTCACTCAAAAATCTATGACATTAATATGTGAAAAAATGTCTTACCTCCCAGAAAGCTTGGTCATCAAAATATTTAGCCACGTGAGGTGCTCTCCATATTCTGATGTTTAAGAGTAAACCTGTGCAAATTCATAAGTAAATGTTCAACATTGAGGGCACAGCATTTGTTTATCTCAACATTAATCAAAATGTCCTACGTCAACTATGGTGCCTCAACAGAAATCCTGTTTTCTTCCACGACCAGGAGATAGACAAATCGAAGCACCGTTCTTCCTGGACTCGCTTCATTTATTCCATAGACACCTTTTGACAGGAACTGGCAAGAGCAATTATTTCTGAAAGATTGAGGTTGCACTGAGAGGTGTAGGGTAACCGTGGATGCGACACGCTCCCCCAGATAGAATAGAGCTGTCCTATCCCATGATGCCCCCACTTATAAGCTTCTCCATTTCAAACGCGAGAACTACCATGGAGAGCCACTCAAGGTGGGCACCCCTGTAGGTCCAATAAACTCCTGCCAACTGCAGCTTCAGATCCCACTTGTGTAGTTAGGAAAGTAGTTCAGGACAGTTTGCTTTGGTGCCTGTAATTTTCGCCTGTCCAGCTTCTGCCCAGAGAGCCTGGCTCTATGGATTCCCCCAGCTGCACAAACTCTGCCGAATTTCCCAGGATGCATGAAAGGACAGATCACCTTTCCCATGAAGCAGGGAAGTGCCGTTCATAGATTTATCAGTGTATTGTTAATGATGATCGGTCCCAGTGTATTCAATGGTAAGACTGGCAAGAGTAGGCATGCGCATATTCATATTTTCTTTTTATCGTGCATGCCTTCAACTGATATTGGTAGGTAAGGTGCAGTTACCCAGAATTACTCAGAAATGATCTCTATCGCCCACGTCAATTTTCCAGGTAGATGAGGCTTACATATCACTAACGAAAATCCATCTGAGTACATAAATCCACAGTGCATTTCTTGTCCTATGAATTACCACTGAACAAACACATTTAGACCTTTTGAACCATTGCTGGGAACACCGACCAATAACATTTCTGTAAAACGCAGAGCAGGGGTGTAGCTGTGGAGGGTTGTTGGCCTGCTCGTCTGCAGGCCAAGCCTTTTGCGTTCTTGTGTCTGATTTCAAGAATGTCTCTTCCTCTGTGAGGCTGTATGCTCTCACTTCTGACACCCCAGTGTGCCTTACCTCCTGGAACCGACCCCGCCTCCAACCTGCTGTTTCTGGTCTTCCTGAACCGGAAACCCAGCAGCTACGCCTGATGGGACTGTCCCTTCAATAGCAGAGACAGGCCTCCGACGATGGGGTCTCCTGACCAGTACAGTGCTTGGCTTTCATGGGGCAATTTGGGGCCATTTGGGCTGCTTGGGGGCCATTTCCCCTTTTGTTATCCAAGTTCTTTTTAATCACCAGTTCCCTCATGCCCAAAGCAACATGCAAGGAAGAAAGCTCATTGGTTTTAACTCTTAAGGGAATAATATAGGTGTCATTTCCGCTCTTCTCTTAAGTGTAAGGAACTCCCCTACCCCCAGGTCCTTTATAAGACAGTGTCAGTGTCACTTGGGTAACAGAGTGACTAATGGTGAATGAGGAAAGAACCCAGGTATAGGGTTTCGGGATGAAATACAAGATGCTCAGCTAATTTTGAGTTTAAAAAAAATGACTACCTTATACTTTCATTTGCTCAATCTGACAGCCCTACCCAGGATAGAATGTCAGCTTACGGAGGGAGGCATTTCGCTTTTTGTTCCAACGATTGTGTGTGTTCTTTTTTTTTCTCTTTTTTGTTTTTTTTCCCTCTTTTGTGTTTTTTTCCTTTCTTCATTCATCTGTTCTTAATTAATCACCTCTGCCTCTGTCAAAAGCTGAGGCCAGGTGGTGCGGTAAGGGTATTTTAGACAATCTCACTCTCTAAAATTACCCAGGTAGCTCCAAAAAGTACCTTCATATATATTTTAGAGCTGAAAGGAAGCCAAATGATTAGTTACCATAACCTTTTCACTGTACAGGGAAGTAGCTAAGCCCAGAGAAAGTAAAGTGATTCGATGCCACACGACTCATTAGTGTCTGCCCATGCTATTTTGCCTCTTGTTTGGTGTCCACCCCCCAACCCCCCCCACCCCCCGTTTAGGCACACAATATAGGAGCGCCTAGTCAAGAAAAGCTGCTCACTTATAGAACGAAAGTCAACATTTCTGAACAGGATGCATATTTTCACCTGGCATATAAGATTGGCAAATTAATAACACCTCAAGATTAGCTGCTGTTCTGTCATACTGCAGGGGCAAAAACCGACTTCAGTCCTCTGTTTAACGGTCTCCAGTGGCTTTCTGCCTTTCAGAGTGACCTGGCTCCTCGCTCCCACTCTGGTCTCAACCACTGCCACTCTCCCCCTCCCTCCATGCACGTCAGCTCCACTGACCTCCTCTGCCGCTCCCTAGACATACAGAGCATGCTCCGGCCTCAGGGCCTTCGCACTTGCTGTTCCTTCTCGTAGACTGCTGTTCTCTAACATGAGCTCGTCATAGGTCTCCCTCCTTCTCTCCATTCAGGTCTCTGCTTAAAGGTCCACTGACTAGACAGGCCTCCCCTTACCACCCTCCCGGAGGAACAGCCCACCCTCACACTGACTCTGGTTCTCTCACGCCGATTTATTTCTCTTCATAGCACTCATTACCCTCTTATACAGTATGCATTTATTTGTCTGTGTATTGTCAAATAGAATGTCAGCTCCATGTAATCGGGGAATTGTTTTATTCATTGCTGTGTCCCTAGTGCCTAAGAAAAGTGTCTGGCTCATAGTAGATATTGAATAAATATTTGTTTGAACCAAACACTCTTATGGACACCCTTGGGGAATAAAAGGTAAGCATTTTTAGGCATAAAAATTTCCTTGGCCTTCTGTACAAAACTGGGTAAGATCACCGGCCCTGGCCCTAAGGGGCTGCAATGCCACCACAAACTCCTATTTATAACCTTAGCACAGTCTCTTCCTTTCCCTAGTCCTCAGAGTCCACACCTATTGCAGTGACCTTGAGGACCTTTCCATTTCTAAAATGATGTGATTCTGTGTTTGTTTGTTTGTTTGTTCATCCAAGTCTGAGCCCTTGTGTCATTTAGCTGGAGCGGAGGAAGTGGGTTTGCAGGGGACGGGATGGGCTATCCACCTCCAGCCACGGGGCGGGTGCACGCACAATCCAGGCCCTGTCCCTGGGCACTGTGGGAGGGTGAGCCCACACTGACCTGTCAGGAGACCAGATGCCAGACCCGTGGCCACGTACAAGCCGAGTGTCCCACTGCTGATGAGCACCTGGTGGAAGCTAGAACTGACAAAGCAAAGATGGTCACATTCAGGTATCAGGCGGCAGATGTCGTGGCGACAAAAAGCACTGCTTGCATGAGCAGTGACACTGTCAGGAAGGGCCATCAGGAAAACAATGTCCTCTTCCTGGTGGTACATTTCCCTGTCATTTTCCTGCAAAGCCATGCTGACATGAAGGAAGGGAAGGGGCAATGCCAAGATCCTATTTGGCTTACTTTCATCCTCAGAGCCCATGGATAATGAACTAGACCAGGAGTTAGAAAAAACAAGTTCAGGTCCCAGTTTTGTCACTAGTTGCGTGACCCTGGGAAGGTCACTTAACTGCTTAGAGCCCAGAGTTTCCTCATTAGGCAACTGAAGATCAAGTCAAGGAGGGGTGCAGTTTGGTTATCAGACCCATCTTCCCTGCCTGCCCCCCTTGAACGTGTCCCACTGTTCGCTCTCCTTCAAGGCAAGCTTGGGACTTCACTTAAAACAAGGAGGTGGCCCTAGGAGGACATGTACATGACCTTGCAGTTGACAGAGATTTCTTACACAGGGCATACAAGAGCTAAACATAAAGAGAATAATGGTAAATTGGACTACTTTAAAATTCACAGCTGTTCACCAAAAGACACCCTTAAGAAAGTGAAAGGTAACCTACAAAGTGGAAGAAGGTATTCACAACACATGTATCTGACCAAGGGTCTATATTCAGAACATATAAAGAATTCCTACAAGTCAATAAGAAAAAGACAAAGGACACAATAGAAAAATGGGCAGAAGAACTTGAATAGACATTTCAAAAGAAAAAAACATTCAAATGTCCTAAAAGCCTATGGAAAGTGCTCCACTTCGTCAGTAGGGAAATCAAAATTCAAACAGCGAGTCTGATGGTCACATGGCTGACACGAGGGGAAGGAACCATGGCGTGTGAGAGAACACCTGGGCAAAGGGGACTCGCGTGGGCACATCGGCGCAAACCACAGCGGAGAGCTGGTCGTGCCCACTGAAGTGGGTGCGTGAGTACTGCACGGCCCAGGAATTCTCCTTCTAGGCACACATTCCCTACAAGGGCTACCCATATGTGCCCCTAAAAAGCGTTAGAACATTCATAGCAGCAATACTAGAATGTTCATAGTAGTTCCAAACTAGAAACTACCCCCATGGTCAGCAATAATGGATCAATAAATTGTGCTGTACTCACACAATGGAACGTTGTTTTAACTGTGTTTTCTTGGATTCTACAATTGGTCTACTTGGTGCTCACTTTTCAATCACAGTTTACATTCAAGATTACCTTCTATTAGTTTCAGGTGTACAGCACAGTGGTTGGACAATCACATGCTTTACAAAGTGACTCCCCTGATATCAGAATTTGCACTTCTAACCAGTTCCCAGGTGATGCTGATGCTTTGGGAACCACTGCTCTGGGAGAGCCAGAGTCACAGAGTTTGGGGTCTAGAAGGACAAGTGGTCCAGACCGTCCAGGTCAGCAGCCCATGAGCAAAATTTGGCACATGCAATTTTTCTAGAGATTTTGAATCTTTTGCCAGTGCTTTGGGAGAGTACCTAGTACTTTCCTGAATTAACTTATTAAATCCTCTTAACCCCATGGCTCCCGGGCTCAGGCAGCTGCCAACAACCGTGTGCGAGGAGCTGGTGACCTTCACTCACAACTGGTGACTGAAGCCCAGAGGAGTTAGGCAGCACGCCCTGCTAGTGAGAGGTCAAGACGAGCCCGACTCCCCGGCACACTCCTCACCATGACCTCCACCATCCGAGGTTGAAAACTGGACTCAACTGGCTTGGGCCTGATTGCCCTGCTCTGTCTGCTTTTGGGGAACCTCAACACTATCTGCCTCTGCCTTGCACCCGGGCTTCCCTCTCGGGAAGAAGTGGCCTGAAGAGGTGGTGACCCCACACAAGGTAGGGGCCAGGCGGAATTTCTGAACAATATTGGCCAACACGCAGTGACTGTGGTCTGCTGAGTACCTGGCCCTGAATGCACGCCCTCCAGCTAGGGGCTCTGGGCACATTTCTTCCTGAGTTAGGTGGGGGTATGAAGAAGGTGAGGCAAGCAACTCACATGAGAGACCCGACCCGGCTTGCCTTGCGCATCATCAGGATGATGTAGGTGATCCCTCCGAGCAGACCCGGCAGGCCAAATGTGTAGTGCACGCCGCAAGTGTCATGGATGCCCAGTAAGTGGTCAAAACACACCTGGGGGACAAACATCATTATAAACAGATTTACATGTGAGACTGGCATATCCTACCCACCCTTTCCACAGATCCTTGGCATCCCAGGGCCACCAAAAGGAGATGGACTTCAGGGCTCACCCAAAGAAGCCCTTCTCAGATTTGACTGCATGCTCACATCACCTGGGCAGCTGGTTAAACTACAGAGTCAGATTTAGCAGCTCTAGGGCCTGAGATTCTGCATTTCCAGCAAAGCCCCAGGGAATGCCAGTGCTGCTGGCCCACAGACCCCAATCTGAGAAGCAAGAATCCAGCCCAGGCACTACTCGCATTTCGGGCTCTACTTCTGTGATATGAAGGGGGCTGTCCTGTGCGTTGTAGGATGTTTAGCAGCACCCTTGGCCCGCACCCTCTGGATGCCAGTAGCACCCCCAGACTAGTGTGTCAACCAAGAATGTCTCCAGGTAACGTCAGTTGTCCCCAGGAATAATCGAGGCCTCCTGCTCTAGCCGCAACCTACCTGCCGTTCCAAAGACAACACGGCTGATTCGAATAAAAATCAGAAGAAAAGAATCTGACCATACCTTCAGACTCCCATTCAATGCTCCTCCACCTCACCACTTGGCCTCCCAGATGGCCAGGAGCCAACAGATGTGGGTTCAAATGCGCACTGACCGGGCTAGTTCCTGCTTTAGGCTCCCCGCGGTCTTCCAGATACAACTCCAGACCCCTCGACTAGCTCAGGAGATAGATACACCTGAGCGCCTGCCCTCTCTCCAGACTCTGGTCCCACCGCGCTCTCAGGTGAACTCAGGGCTTCAGTCCTGAGAATGTCTTCCTGTTCCCCGTTTGGGCCACAGGCTCTTCTCACTGTCGAGCCTTTGAACACGCTATTCCTTCTGCCTGGAGTACATCTCCCCCTTCTTTGCCCGGCTGATGTGAGTTATCTGTCAATGCTCAGCTGAGGCATCCTCTGCTCTGGGAAGAATTTCCTGACCCATCTCAGGTTGGGTTAGATGTGCTCCCGGAGCAGCTATCACTCTGAGTTGTGCTTATTTGTCAATTTGTATTCACTACACAATAGCTTGGGAAGTAGGGTAGAGGTTAAAACATACGTGATGAATGAATGCATGCATGAATGAATAAGTGAGTGAATGAATAAATTAGTGAATTATCTTTTTTAAAAACATCTCACCCAAGATCATGCTTATTGATTTTAGAAAGAGGGGAAGGGAGGGAGAGAGAGAAGGAGAGAAACATCAATGCAAGAGAGAAACATTGATCAGTTACCTCTTGTACTCACCCCAACAGGGGACCGAACCTGCAACTTAAGCATGTGCCCTGACCAGGAATCAAACCTGCAACCTTTTGATTTATGGGACAATGTTCCAACCATTAAGCCACAGTGGCCAGGGCTTGAATCATGTTTGAATCACTCCCCCGGTGATAGAGTCAGGAAACTGAAGCGGAGAAAACAGCAGACTCTGAGCCTGGTGGTAACTTACGCATGTTTTGCTGCGCACCTCCCCGCTTTCATTACAGGGCCGCCAAGCCAGAGGAGATAAAAGACATCTGTTCTCAGTGAGATGAAAAGCGGACTGCCCCATCTCTGCTCCAACCAAACTGTTGGTGAGTTCCTCCTGGAGCTGAAACTGCCTCCCTCGATATCCACTGCAACCAAAGGCAGCTTCCTGTGCCGCCCGGGAGTGGCTCCTCTGCTTCCTACCAAGCCTTCAAACCCATGAAGACTTGTCATTCCTAAATATTTCTCTAAGAAGTGTATCATAACAAATTGGCTATAATAAAGTGTTTCAGTATCATCCATGCCTGTCGAATATTGCAGGAAGAAAAATCCATCCACTTAGAAGAACTAAACAATCAGAAGTGGACATGACTGGGCTCTGGGTCCTGCCCATCTTTCTTCCAGGTGCTGCCCTTCCCGCCCCCCGTTCTCATGGTTCATGGGCAGCAACCATATATGTACGACATGCCCCACCCACCCCCACCCCAGCCAAAGGTGGGCACATGACCTAAGTTAGACCAATGAGCCCCTTGTTCGAAGAACTTGAAATCTGGGCCAAGAGATGCCGCCCAGCTGCTTTCTTGAAGAGACAGACTACATTCTACCCTGTGGAATAGCAGTAGAACAGAAAGGAAGTCTACAGAGAGAATAAAGCAGATATTCAGGTGAAACAAAGAAAGAAGAAGATTAAGGATTCCTTGGGCTCCCCACGACACTCTGCCATCCCTGGTGCCAGCCATTCCTGAGTCCCCAGCAGCACCCCAGTCCTTGGGGTTCCTGACATCCCGATGGCCTTGTAATGAACTCTCCCTTCTGTCTGAGCAAGCTTGAGTGGGTTCTGTCACTGGCTCCCCAGATCCTAACATATGCACCATCCAACCTGGGTGAGTCCCTCCCCCAAACTTTGAAGCCAAATGGAGAGAGCGCCAGCACCTGTCTAATGCAGCCCATAGTACCATATGGTGGCCCACCGTGGTTCCAGGGTCCTTCTGGTCTAAGACAAGGCAGATGGTGTTAGTCGCCCAGCTCCTTACCGGCAGGTACTTGGCTCCCCCGATGGAGATCAGCCCAGCCGTAAGCCCCAGCACCATGGCAATCCAAGGCTCTAGAATCTGGTGACCCGGGATACTCATAGCCACACCTCCCGCCAGCACTGCATTGTGGATGTGAGTCTGCAAAGAAACAGCCTGTAGGTGAACGCAGGGAGGCACAGACAGGACAGCACCTTGCCCGAAGCTCTTCATCCAGCTGGTAGTAAGGCAACACTGTAACGTGCTCCCTGCTCCGATGGTCCTGGAACCAGCCACTCCCCTCTGCTGAGACTACCTGGCCTGTGTCCACGGCCTTATCTCACCCCACTTCTCGGGCTCAGGGGGCAGTCGCCCTGTTGGGAGGCATTTAGGGGATCAGCTCGAAGGAATCATTCCTCGGCACTCGGCCGCCCTCACACTCATTGGGGGTGGGTCCTTGGGCTCTGCACAGTCCAGCACTTCAACGTTCCTCCGGAAGAAGGGGTTTGGGGTTACACCTGCTTAATACAGGTTATTGTGAGAACTAAATGAGTTACCACACATGAAACCCTTAACCCAGTGCCTGGCATGGAATGCAAGTTAATGCTCAAGAAATAAAAGCCATAGTTAATCTGTTTTTGTTATATTTATTGGCTACTTGGTGCCTATGCCACTCTGCACGACTGAACCCAACACACTGGGTCCAGAATCACATCTGCGCTGCGCCCTTCGCCCTGCAGAACTGGGCCTCGCCCCCTCTGACGCTGCTCACCCCTGCCCTGCTCAGCTCTGACCAGGTCCAGGAGCCTGGGCCCTCTGACCAGCCTCTGGGCTTCCCCGGCCCGCTGGCCGAACCTGCCTCCCCGGATGGCCCGACGTTATCTGATCCCAGACTCCTTGTCACCACAGAGCTCCCTTGTGGGGACACCCACCTCCCCTTAGCACCGTTAACCCGCCATCCACAGCCACATTCTCTCCACTCCAGGCCCCACCGTCTGTCTGGACTTTTCCCCGCCCCCCTCTGGCTGGCTGACCCCCGGCCCTGAGCATCACAGGAACTTGTTTTCTCTTTCACTCTACACTCTCACCATCTCCCCCCGACCCCAGAACTCACACGTGGTCTCCCAGCTCCATTGATAGCAGCAGCTAATGTTCGCCCAGCACTTTTTCCATAGAAAGCGCTTGACAAACCAAATTCAAGTGGCTTCACCAGGTCCACGTAGCCAGATTAACATACTTCTTTACTTCCGATTTTTATCATTCCAATCTCGAAATTTCTTGGGGTAAGGGGAAAGTTGACTAATTCTGCTTTAGTTTTTCTCTGCTGACTCTTGCTCATGGGGGCTGGCTTTAGTAACTAGCAGAAACGGGGTTCAAACCCGGGTCTGTGAGATGTCAACGCTGATGACTAAATCACCACCCTACCCCCACCCCTACCTGCCCCCGCCAGCAAGCCTTTGATCAGTGCACAGTCTCCCAAGTTCCAGTGCCCGTTTTACCACGCAGGGCTCTTCCTCGCGCTCCGTGGCACAGGACACAAGGCTCCGTCACCAAGCATGCACTTTCCCCAGCCACGGGGCCGGTGCTGCGGGGAGCAGGTGGGAACATGTGTGCGGGGCCTAGAAGACCCACGTGCTGCCCAAGGAGCAGCCCCTCTCCTCACCATGTTGATCTTTCCTCGGGGGTGAGCCAAGGCCGACATGGAGATGGCCGATACTGTGCTGGCTGCGAGAGCGTAGTAGGTGTTCAATATGGCATTTTTCCTTTCATCTTGTGTTAGCAGGATGGAGTTGAAACTCGGCCAGAACATCCACAAGCAGAGGGTGCCTGCGGGGCATAGGCGGTCATTGGCCAGAACCAGCATTCCTGCCCCCAGAGCCCGAGCCCCTGCGGACTTCAGACAGAGACTCCCGGGGCTGGCAAATCTCAGCTTCGTCACTCTCCCGCTGTGTGACTTTGGGCGCGTCATGTTCCTTCTGAAATCTAAAGTCGGTGGGGCCCAGCTAACCTACTTCACGGGCAAGGAGACTAAGGTCCTGAGGTTTCAGATCACCAAACCCCAGGCCTCCTGACCCTGGCCTTGTGATGGCCAAATGCTTATTTCAAAAAATTAACATGCTGCTTTCATTCAGCCCCACGGCCTGACCTTCAGTTGCCTGCTGTCAAGCGCACTGGCTGACTTCCTCTGAGCCTCTCCCCAGCGGTCTGAGTTCAGCCTTTTCACCGCAGCTTCTCCAAGCACACCAAGGTTGCTCCTCTGTTCCCACCCCTCATCCTTCCTCCACCTCAGTGTGGGGGGAGACCCAGCTTTCGTCACTCGTCCAATTCCCTCCTTTCAGTTGAGGCTGAACAGGTTGGATAAACTCATTTAAATTTAAATGTGGGGAGTGTCTCCTCTCAGTTGGAGAAGGATGAGGAGAGGACCCTAGAGCGGAAGGCCTCAGTCAAAGGTCTGAGTTCATGGACACCACGTGGGGAAACAGGTCTTGGTAGACGGGCTTCAGACGCCCCGGGCAGGTTGGTGACCCAGAGAAGTTTTCTGCAGAGCGCTTTGGAGCTGCCTGCTCAGTCCGGGTGTGAAACCGCCCACCACCTTGTCCTTACCCAGCATGGCAAACAAACTGGGGCTTACTGCCCTCTGGTCTTTCTCCTCCACTCCCTTGGGCAGAGGTCTTGAGAGGCACCAGGCCACAGTGAGCCCGAAATAGGCCGCGAACACGTGGATGTGCATCAGGCGTAAGTGGTCGTTCGACTGCAACAAAACCCAGCGGGAGCAGTGAGTGTCGGTGTCCCCTGCCCTCGGGCAAACCCCGCTGCTCCTCGGAGACAGCTCTGAGCGTCGCTTAGGAGGTGGGACCTGAAGTCACGAGATTGGTGTTTGGAGTTTATCCAGCCCAGCAGTTCCCCTGTCAGAGGAGCCCTATGAGTAGCTGAGTGTTTATTCCAGGGAGGGTGCAAGTTGGTTTTATGAGTGGCTTTTATTTTATATTTTTATCCTTACCCAAGGACTTTTTTTCATTGCTTAGAGAGAGAGACATGAACAAGGGTGTGAGAGAGAAACATCAACTGGCTAACTGGCTGACTCCCATACATGCCCCAAACAGGGATTGAACCCACAACGTAGGCATGTGCGTTGACCAGGAATAGAACCTGCAGCCTTTCAGTGTATACTCCAAGCACCTGAGCTACTCTGGCCAGCGCTAATCAGTAGCTTTCAAATGCTTTTGGCTGAGGTTCGCTTAGCTTAGGTGGGGCCAAAAGCCACAAGACCACACACCCTCACTACTTCCTAGTTTTCAGCAGAATTTCATGGAGTTATGAGTGATATGAACCTTGCAACATGAAACAGCCAGACTTCTCCAAACTGAACCGAAGTTTTTAGTAAATTCTAGGCATATGCTAATTTTGCTTTATGAATATCAAATTTAGTCATCTTTCCTGACTCACTTAGTGGGCTACTCCTAAATCCTGTCAACTGGGCCTTCAAAAAATATCCCGAATTGGCAGAAATTTTACCACCCCCGCTCACTGACCTCACCTTGGTTTAAGCCACCATCACCACAAACCCAAATTATTGCAACAACCTTCTTAACAAGCAATCAAAGTTAACATCCTCAGGAATGAGACAAATGCCACTACCTTGCTGAATGATCTCGGATAGTGCCTTCCCCTCTCTGGGCATCAGCTTTCTCACCTGTGACCAGCCTGCTTTCACTTGATTACACCTGGCCACAGGGTCTCAACTTACAGGGGAAGAGCTGGGAAAACCACTTGGTCTGGCCTCGGCCTTAGACTTTTGACCATTTTCCCCCATGAGGTCACATGTATCATTAGTGGTACACACTGACTGGTCTGAAAGAGGAGGAGGGCCATGCAGCTTGCTGGACCACAGCTGGTGGGGCCACCAGAATGAATTATCTTTTTATACATCCCATAATTATCTTGTGATTCCTGCAGTATCATATTTTGGACGTTAACAGCATTCATATGCTGTGTTTAAACATTTAGCACAGGCCACGTTTCTGTAACCTTATTTGGGCCTGGCTTTATTTTTTTTAAATCCCAGAAACCTCACCACATGGAGGCCACCCTTTCCACCTCCTCACCCTTCCTCACCGAACCACGACTCACATGGAGGACTTCCTTGTCCAACGTCCTGGTGGCGCTGAAGACGGTCACCTCTATCAGCACCATCACCAGGAGCTGCACTAGGTTGGCCTTCCCCAGGACAGCACCCGCTGAGATGAGCACGGACATAGCGCTCACGGTGGCCCGTTGAATGCTGGAGAGAGAGGGCGAGACAGTGACAGCTAAGGAGGAAGGATGCCTGTCATTCATCCACTCCTTTAACAAACGCTTGTTGAGGGTCTACTACTCTCTACCTGGCACTGTTCAAGACACTCAGGGCGCGGAAGGAGAACAAGAAGGCAAGGTTTCTGCCTCCGTGCAGGATTGGTGCTGCCCGGCCTGGGGTTTCCTTCGTCCCCCTCTTCCATCAGGTTGGCGTCTACACTCTGAGAGGCTGATCTCGCATCCACACTGAGGATGCTCAGAGGTTCTCACAGGTATGTTACTGTGAGTTACAGAGGCCAAATGTTCCCTAGGGCCTCCTCTCAGGGATATGACAACCGGGACTCCGCTTACAGCTTCTCTTCGGCCGTCATCACTTACAAATGCTCGATAGAGGGCGCTCTTCCCCTGCGTACCCCGCCAGCCACCTTCATCTGCTCTCCCACCGGGTTTGGAAGTAGGACAAGCCTGGCTTCCAGTCTCAGCTTTTCCGCTTGAGTGGCTATTTAATCTCACTGAGCCTGTTTCTCCATCTGTAGACTGATAATAAAATTATCCCATGGTAGTACTGTGGGGATTAGAACAAACATTTGTGCATGTGTATCTAGCACCATGGCAGCACAAAGAACTGAGGAGTAGAAGCAGGCATTATTAGCACCATTACTGATTCCTTCCTCCCCTTGACAAATGAGCAAGCTCAGTGCGGGGATTTGGAGGGAGAACACAGTTTTTGTTCTTAAGGAACTTACGATTCAGCTGGAGAGACAGAGCTGACATCATGAACCCTGATATCACTATTTGTGGTATAAGGAGGCTAAAGGGAGACACTGAAGACAGAATAGTGTGGACTAGACTAGTCAGGGAGGGCTTCCTGGGGGAGATGGCACTGAATACAGCAATCCGTGGTGGTTAAACCAACCCATCCTCCCCTGGGTACCTTTCTCTGAGACCCGTCCCTCCCTGGGAGTTGATAATGATGAAGCTACAACCACCACTATTTTCTAATAATCAAAATAGTTTATATTATAACTTAAAATAAGATTCTTTCACATAAAAAATAGCAAACTATAATTAATGCTTTTTCTACCCTCTTAGGAAAAGGACATTAAAAAGTGCTGGACATTAAGACATTAATTGCATTTCTTATATTTAATTTCCACATTTCACATTTGCTATCCAAATTTTACCAAGATCTAGTTCACCTATCCTTTATCTAGGATTTCACATTGTATTTATTATTTTAGAATTGCATTTATTAGCCTGTGGTTATTGAGCATTTGGAATCTGGCTAGTCCAAGTTGAGATGTGTTTATAAATGTAAAATATATCAGAATTTGGAGAGTCAGTATGAAAAAAGGAATTGGAGAACATGATAATAATGTGTTGAGCATCATGTATAACAGGCTCACAACCGCATCGCCTCATTTAAATTTTTTTCAATTACAGTGATATTCAATATTTTATATTAGTTGCAGGTGTAGAGCACAGTGATTAGACATTTATATAATTTATGAGGTGATCACCTCATAATTCCAGCATCCACCTGGTACCACACATAGTTATTACAATATTATTGACTATATTCCCTGTGCTGTACTTTACATCCCCATGACTATTTTGTAACTACCAATTAGTACTTCTTAATTTCCTTACCTTTTCCACCCAGCTTCTCAACCCACCTCCCATCTGGGACCATCAGTTTTTTTCTCTGTATCTATGAGTCTGTTTCCGTTTTGTTTCCTCATTTATTTTGCTCTTTTTATATTTTTTAAAAGGTTTTATTTATCTATTTTTAGAGAGAGGAGAGGGAGGGAGAAAAAGAAGGAGAGAAACATCAATGTGTGAGAGAAATATTGAGTGGTTGCCTCCTACATGCCCCCAAATGGGGACCTGGCCTGCAACCCAGGCACGTGCTCTGACTGGGAATCGAACCAGTGACCTTTCAGTTGGTAGGCCAACACTCAATCCACTGAGCCATACCTGCCAGAGCTATTTTGTTCTTTAGATTCCACATACCACTGAAATCATATGGTATTTTTCTTTCTCTCTTGGACATATCCCACTTAGCATAATATCCTGTAGGTCCATCTATGTTTTTGCAAGTGGTAAGATTTTTATTTTTATCGTCAAGTAATATTTCATTGTATATATGGACGACATCTTTATTCACTCGTCCGTTGATGGGCATTTGGCCTGCCTCCAATCTTAGCTTTGTAAATAATGTTGCAATGAACATAGGGGTACATACAAATATTTTCAAATTAGTGTTTTGGATTTCCTCAGATATATACCCAGAAGTGGAATTGCTGGCTCATAAGGCAGTTCTATTTTAAATTTTTTGAGGAAGCTCCCTACTGTTTTACATAGTGGCTGTACTAATTTGCAATCCCACAAACAATGCATGAGAAACTTTCCACATTCTCACCAATACTTGTTTGTTGATTTGTTGACAATAGCCATTCTGCCAGGTGTGAGGTGATATCTTACTGTGGTTTTAATTTTCATTTCTCAGATGATTAGTGAGGTTGAGCAACTTTTCGTGTGTCTATTGGCCACCTGTATGTGCTTTTTGGAGAAATGTCTATTCAAGTTGTCTTATTTCTTTCCTTTTTTTTTATTTTTTAAAGAATTTACTTATTTATTTTTAGAGAAAGGGGAAAGGAGGGGAAAAAAGAGGGAGAAAAACATCGATGTGTGGTTGCCTCTCACACACCCCCTACTGGGGACCTGGCCCACAACCCAGGCATGTGCCCTGACTGGGAATCGAATCAGTGACCCTTTGGTTTGCAGGTTGGCACTCAATCTACTGAGCCACACCAGCCAGGGTTGCTTATTTCTTAATTGGATTTTTTTTTTGTGTTGAGTTGCATGAGTTCTTTATAGATGTTGGATGTTAACCCTTTATTGGATGTATTATTGATTAATATATTCTCCCATTCAGTAGATTATCTTTTTGTTTTCCTGATGGTTTCCTTTGCTGTGCAAACCTTTTTAGTTTGATGTAATTCCATTTATTTATTTTTACTTCTGTTTTCCTTGCCTAAAGAGATATATCAGAAAAAATATTACTAAGAACAATGTCAGAGATGTTAATGCTTATGTTTTCTTCTAGGAGTTTTATGGTTTCAGGTCTTACATTTAAGTTTCCAATTCATTTTGAGTTTATCCTTGTACATGGTGGAAGAACATGGTCTAGTTTCTTTTTTTTTTTTTCACATATTTGTCCAATTTTTCCAATACCACTTGTTGAATAGACTGTCTTTACCTCATTGTATATTCTTGTCTCTTTTGTCATACATTAATTGAACATACAGGCATGGGTTTATTTCTGGGCTCTCTGTTCTGTTCATTGATCTGTGACAGGACTTATCTGAACAGCAGCCATTCTCAGACAGCAGCCATTCTCAAATAAGCAGTTATCTCAAGGTCGCATGGTAACCCCTGCTTTCTGCTTCTGTATGCCTACTTTCAGCAGCTGCACTCCTTCCCCCTCCTCCTTCTGCCTTTGTAACAAGAATATAAGCGGGCCCCAGCCTGAGCTCAGAGCCCAGAATTTGGAGATGATCTCCTCTGGGTCCACATGCGTGAATAAAACTCCACTTCGCAAACTCCGACGCTGTCTGAGTCGCTTTCCTGTAACAGATCTATGTGTTTGTTTTTATGCCAGTGCCATGCTGTTTAAATTACTATAACTACAGGGAACTGTTCCACGTGGTATGGGGAATGTAAACCAGCCCCTGATTCAGAAAACCAACGGGAAGTGAGGTCAGCACACAGGACCCACACTCACGGATAGGTTCTCCCGTGGGGATTCAGGTCTGCATTGGACCTAGGCTGCTATGAGGCTTGCTTTTGCTAAAATTTCCTCACCCTGAATTGGGGCAGAAAATGCTTACTGCATGTCTCTAAAGTAACTTCCTAAAGTCTGTGCTAAACCTCCCAAGTATGGAGTGTAACCAGTTCAGCCACTTTTCCCCTTGCATCTGAAACATTCTTCTCTTTGACATACATTCTTTCCTTTGTTATCTGTAAAAGGTAATCACCTAGAGGGAACCTGTGCATTGTAAATGAGGACCATCCTCAATGTAATGTACCCAGAAAAGCAACAGAAGCCTGTCCAGGCAGGGGTCGGGGCCCTCTCTCTTACACAGAGAGCAGCCATGCTGTCCCTTTTTCTCCACAGGACTTCTGCAGTCCGTGTTCATCACAGCCACAACGCACGGACCCCGCGGGCCAGAGTCCACATCACATAACCTTGAAGTATAGTCTGATGTCAGGCAGTGGGATTCCTCCATCTTTTTCTTCTTTCTCAAGATTTCTGTGACTGTTTGGGTCTTTTTTGGTTCCATGTAGATTTTAAGATTATTTTTTTTCTGGTTCTGTGAAAAACATCATTGCTATTTTGATAGGGATTGCGGTGAATCTACAGATTGTTTTGGGTGGTGTGGACATTTTAATGATGTTAATTCTTCCAATCCATGAGTGAGGTATATATTTTCACTTATTTGTATCTTCTTCAATTTCTTCCTTTAGTGTCTTTTAATTTTCCAAGTACAGGTTTTTTACCTTCTTGATTAAATTTATTCCTAGGTATTTAAATTTATTTTTTGGTGCAGTTGTAAATGTTGTTTTCTTAATTTATCTTTCTAATAGTTTATTATTGTTGTACAAAAAATGGTACCAGTTTCTGAATATTAACTAATTTCATATCTTGCTACTTTACTGAATTTATTTATTAGTTCTAGTAGTTTCTTGGTGGAATTTTTAGGTTTCTCGCTACATAGTATTATGTCATCTGCAAATAATGACAACTTTCTTTCTTTCCAATTTGGATGCCTTTTATCTCTTTTTCTTGTCTGATTACTGTGGCGAGGATTTTCTTGTTTAGATTTTAATCCCCCAAGTAACCATCTATAAATGGTGCTAGGGCACCATTCAGTACCTCCATTTCACGGAAGAGGACCCTGAGACTAGAAGAGGAGAGACTTTTTTTGGCAATGCCCACACAGCTAGCCAACAACAACTGTGAGGTTCAAACCTAGATGGCCTGGATTCAAAGCCTGTGCTCTGATGTCCGAACACAGCGGCCCCAGTGTTTGCTGCCAAAGTAGAGTCCTGGCTCAGAACTTCAGAGGGAAGGTCAGAGGGCAAAGGGCAAGGGAAGGAGTCTCACAGGAGCCAGGGCTTATTTAGAATCCCTTACTATGTGAGGAAAACAAAGGGCAAGTTGAATAAGACTGGCCCCTGCCCTGAAGGAACTGGTCATGGGTGACTTGAGGCAGAACCAATTCAGTGCCAAGTCAGACTGCATAGAGTGGGTGAGGCTGAGGGAAAGGGAGAGTCTCCATCTGGGCAGCGGGCCTGAGCACCACCCACCAGCCCAGTCCAGCTGGAAAGGTCAGGAAGGAACCCATCCTTCAAATCTGTGATGCCAACCTCAGCAGGGATCATGGTTGGGAGGATCCAGCCAGTCAGAGGTGGGGCAGGGAAATTCACTCAGGCTGCAGATGACCTTTTCTCATCCTTCTGGATTGAGTCAAGAATAAACAGGTCCCCGCAGGCAGGACCACAGAAGAAGGGAGCCCACAGACGCCTGTAGACGGAGGATTGGGAGGCTGACGGCTTGCGTGACCTTATGCCCAGGCCACAGGAGCACCAGACCAGGGCCACCACCGTCAGAATTCCCCCAGAACACCCTTCCTTTATCACTTCCCATGTTGTTACCAAGGCTATTGAATCCCCATGGGGATTTGCTCTAAAATGATTTAGAAGAAAAAAAGTGGAGAGGTTTTTGTTTTTGTTTTTGTTTTTTTTCCCAGGGCCAGTAGGAAGCTAACCAGACTGTTTAATGTCATGACTACTTAGATTGTGCTGGAAGATAATTAAAGCTAAAGCCATGTCACCACTTAGCGATGTGACCCTAGGCAAGCGCCTTCTGCTCCCTGAGCCTGGCCTGTACACCCCTCTGGAAGCGTTACACAAAATAGTCAGTCAAGTGCCTGGCACAGTGCCTAGGTCAGTGGCTAGCTCATGGACAGATGTTCAAGGGCAGTGCCCAGAGGTTTAGCAGGGTCTAAGAGGGGAGGACGGAGTGAGCTTGGGAGGTGACAGGTTCTACAAGATACCTCAGATGGCATTTCCAGTCATCCAGGCAGGACAGGGATTCAGAGTTACTTAAAACAAACAAAAATGATTTGAGGAAAAAGTTGTACCTAGTTACTCCCATCAAGTGCTAGCTAATGCTTTCTCTTTTGAGTGCCCAGCTCGACAGATACATACACTCCCTTGTATAAACCACTACCCAAGGGAACAGAACATTTACTGCACCCCATGAGGATCTTTTGTGCCCCTTCCTCACTCATAACCACCGCCTTCCCCAGACAACTATCATTCTGACTTCCAGTAACATGGGCTAATTTTGCTGGTTCTTAGAACTTCATATAAATACATCTAAACGGATCAAAATAAATTTAACAAAAGGCACAGCTACTTCTTGTCGATCAGCATTTGAGAACTGAGAGTCCTTTGTTTTTAAGAGACTGTCTAGCTGAGTGTAGACAGTTTCTTAAAATTTCTTTTTCTTTCTGTCCTATCTCCATTCATTTTCCTTTGAAGCCATATTGATTGGGTAAGTTTACACAATCGTATTCGGTAGTAACGAGAGGACCTAGGGAGAGCAGTAGATCTGGAGTTGTCAGATAAAATATATGATGCCCAGTTAAATTTGAATTTTAGATAAACAGTGAGTAATTTGTTAGTGTAGGTGTGTCCTAAATATTGCATGGTTTTGATGCTAGAAAGAGAAGGGGTCACCCCGGCTTTTCCAGAACCCACCCTCTCGGGCCCCGTACTCTCAAGGACCCAAAAGCGATCCCACTGCCAGTTACCTGGACAGTGTGATGACCACTTTCTCAAGGGAGAGCTGGTCCAGGAAGCCGTCCACCAGCACTGCCCACTGCACCCCGAGGGCCAGCATGCAGAAGTTGAAGGCCACGCTGCTCCAGCTGTATCTCCACAAAGACGAGGTGAGGAAGCCCAGGCCGAGGGCCGCCATGACGGTGACATCCTGGAGGAAGACTGACGGAGGTGACATCGAGGAGGAGGAGGAAGAGAGGCAGACAAGGCAGAGCAGTGATTTTCAACCGGTTTCATCTCATGGCACACAAATTAATTACTAAAATTGTGCGGCACACCAACATATACACTTTTTTGCTGATATGACAAAAAAAAATAGGTATAATTTTGATACATTCACACCGGATGGCTATTGTTGTGTTGGCTGTTGTCATTTTTTAGTTGGACAATCTAAGGCACAGGTGGCAAACACAAGGCCCCAGGGTCGAATCCAGCCCTCCACCTTGTTTCTACCCAGCGGCAGCGCCGAGCTCTCGCTGAACTGCTCTGGAGTAGTTACATTGATACAGCCCTAAAATTACATCCGGTCCTCTGAAGGCAACTGCGAGGCTGATGTGGCCCTTGGTGACAATGAGTTTGATGCCCCCGACGGAAAAGAGGTCAGTGCCCCGATTAAATAGTCAGGTGTTGCTTGTTTTGAAAGTTCTGCGGCACACCGGGTACAAATCGCTGAGGTAGAGGGTGGTGTGAAATTAGAGTTTTACAGAATGGCAGCTGGAAGGGACATTTAAAGATCATTTGAGAGAGCTTGGTCACGTTACTTCACCTCTTAGAGCCTCAGTTTTCTCATCTGAATAATGGAGGGTTCATGCCACATGGGGCCAAAGGAGGGATCAGATGAGCTAGACTGGTTAAACATAAAGGCAGGGCCTGCCTGGCCCGTCAACAGTGCTCGGGAAATGTAGCAATTATTATTACTACTAAACATAATGATGTGAGCAAGTGTAGAGCATCAGGGCCACTGGTTGGCACACAGCTGACACTCAGTACAGGTAATTACTTCTGCTATTGGGGATCGGGTTCCACCTCCTGGTCACGAGCATGAGAAAATAAGGCTATAGCGGCCAGTGGCTTGGCTCAGGTCATGCAGAAAAGAGTGAAGAGAAGCAGGGCCAGAGGTTCTGTTGGCAGAAACCAAATTATCTTTGCAGAAAACAGCCATCTCCCTTTGCTGCCTGCTGAGTCAGACCTGGTGGGCCAGCAGTAAACACCAGGACCACCTGGGTGACCCACACCTTCCTGAACTCAGGCCCAGTGCAGTGGCCGCTGTGTCAGGTGAGTACAGGAGACTTACCTAATGTTAGAGGGAGGTCCTGCGAAAGGAAAGGGGTGGATGCTTTGATTTAAATCCAGGCCTGAAAAATGGTTAGCAGCTTGGTCTCTAGCACTAGGCAAGCTTGGGTTCAAATCAGGACTCTGGCACTGTCCAGCTCTGATGTCTTCAGCTGGTTCTTTAACATCTCTGAGCTTTAACGACAGCCTACATTTATTAAGTGTTTATCTGGTACCAACACTGTTTTAATCATTTTACATAAACCATCTCGTTCAGTTCTCACAACGACCCACAAGGTGGATGCTGTTATTATTACAGTTTTTTAAAAAAGATTTTATGTATTTATTTTTAGAGAGGGGGGCAGGGAAGGAGAAAGAGAGGGAGAGAAACATCAATGTGCGATTGCCTGTCGCACGCCCCCTACTGGGGACCTGGCCTGCAACCCAGGCATGTGCCCTGACTAAGAATCGAACCAATGACCCTTTGGTTTGCAAGCCCATGCTCAATCCACTGAGCTACACCAGCCAGGGCTTATTACAGTTTTACAAATAGGAAAACTGAGGCCCAGAGGAGTTAAGGAACTTGCCCCAGCTGCTAGAGCTGGGGTTTAACCCTAGTGGGTCTGCTCTGAAGGCTGCGCATTCAACTAAAACACTATCTGCTCTGCTAGTTTTTGTGTCTGTGAAATGGGAAAGATAACCACACCACTTGCATGGTTTGGTGGAATCCAATGGCACAGTGCACAGAATCACTCTGAACAGTAAAGGCTGTTTTATCAGCAAACACCAACTATTTTTACACGTGTATAAATGTCTGCAGAGAGATCTTGAAGGAATTTTTTACCTTTATGGATATTGTATCTGGTTGGGGAAAGTTTTGCTTTAAAAGAAATGTGCAGTGTTTAAATTTGCTACAACCAGTTGTAGACAGTAAACAACTTCAAAAAAAGAAAAGAAAAAAAGCATCGGCTCTGAGTTCAGACAGTTCTGGTTCATTACAGCCCTATCATTCCCTATTAGGTTAAACCATACTAAATTGCCAACCTTTGACCATTTTTTGACTAAAAAATGGCAGTTTATATGTTTTGACTTCACAGCCGTGTGGCCTTATAGGTTGCTGAGTTTCCTCATCAGCTAAATAAGGGCAAACACCGCCCCCCACCCCCACCCCAGAGGGTGCTGGGAGATGTGAAGGAAGTAACTTTTGCTCCAGTTCGCAGCACGGTGCCTGGCACACGGAGAATGCTCGGTGGGTGGAGGCTGTTGCTTCACCACCACCGTCACCATCACGGCAGTGAGAACTCACCTGGTCTCCACGGGTCTCCAAAGTCTCAAAAAGCCCCCTCCGTTTACATTTAAATTCATTTGCATTGAAAAACACACACGCCTAGGGTCTAGCACATAGGGCTTGGGTGCTTGCTGATGTTCCTAATCAGACAACACCAGGATGCAGGAGGCCTCTGGGGACCTGTACCCATGCAGGGGACTTGGGGAGTGGCTGAGAAGGGGGTGTTCAGGAGGATTCAACTTCCTGTACCTTCTTCTCTGACAAGAGGGAGGAGGAGGGTGCAGGCAATGTGTCAGTTTCCGGCTGGCATCCTCCTAGGAATGGGGCTGGGCCGGAGGTGTGCAGGGCACGTTTTGTACGGGGCTTCCTCTCGGGGCGGCTCGGGCTCCTTCAGGAGCCAAGCGGAAAACCATGTGTGTGAAGGGCGCGATGCCTGCTTGGCAGTGGTGCGGCCTACAGCCAAGTGGATGCTGCACACCCCACTTTAGATATTCAAATTCAATCTTTTATTAAATGCTACTGTTTAAACAAACACCCTTGCCATTTCACAGCAACACTATAGGCATAGGGTTCAGAGTTCCTGAAGATTGCATGAATAGAGAGACCCTTCCATTTTCCTCCCATTTTATGAAGGGGACCAGAGAGAGCCTGTGACTTCCTCAGGGCCACACAGCATGCCAGCAGCAGAACCAAGCTCTGAATTCCTGGTACAGCGCCCTTCCACCAGGGTAGGCCATTTCTTGCTCTTGTTTGCCCTTGCCTGGCTAAGAGACCTTAGGCAAGTCCCTTGCCCTCGCTGGGCCTCAGTTTTCCTGTCTGTAATATGGGAGTTGGGCATGATACTCTCTAAGGACCTCACCATTCTGGAATGTTCAGAGGAGGGTATCAGTGGGTGAGGAGAGGAGGGTTGCCAGGGTGAGGGCAGAGGTGGGGCCCTGAAGATGAGAAAGTCAGAGGGCCTTGGGTGGGGGCTTCATCAGGCGCAGCTGCCACCCCTGCCAGGTCCAGGAGCTCAGGGTCTTCCTCCCCAAGACCCCACACCATCCCTCAGCCAGGGGAATGAAATTAGGGTGGCGGTTTCTGGAGCTGTTGACAGAGCCCGTTCACCCCACACTGGTCAGTAAATAACGTTCGATTTCAGGCCCCTTCTTCTTTTATCCCCTGCACCCTCCCCTGCCCTCTCCCAGCCTCCCAGGGTGCTAGGTCCACACCCGCTCCTCCCATGTCTCACTGCCCGGACCCCCACCTCAGGGCTGGGTCCCAGCTCTGGGCACCCCTGTTGATGTCAGCCGCCATCTCTTGGAGACTGGGTTACACCCACATCAGAGGCTGGTCTGATAAGCTCCTGACTCTAAGGTGTCCAAGAGTGATAAGGAATGGACGTGCTCCAGGGCCCCAGAGACTGGGCCTTGGAGGGGAGTTTTGCAGTCTAAGGCATGACTGGGAGAAAGAAAATCTAATCTGGGAGTCCAGCAGCGTGAGATGAGGCAGTAATTGCCATCACTGTAACAGCAGACACATATACGGTGCCCTCCGCACATCAAACTGTTGTTCTAAGCACCTGACAGGCTTAACCTGCAACAACCTTGTGCTATAAGGGCTTTTTATTATCCCCGTTTTACAGATGGGTAAAGGGATGCACAGGGAGATGCTGTAACTAACCCAGGTCACACAGCTAGCAAATGGTGGTGGGAGATCTGAACCCTGACCTTTTGGCTATCACCACCACACAATCTGGCCTCTCCAGGCAGTATACGTAGTGTGATGGTGAAGAGTGTGGTCTCTGAGTGAGCTTGTTAGAGTTCACAGTCTGGCTCTGCCTCCGCGCCCCAGCTTCTTAATCTGTAAAATCGGAACCTACTCGGAGGATTGCTGTGAGCCCTGAGCTCGTTGGCTCACGCAGATCACCGAACCTAGCGCTGGGTGCATGGTCAGTGTGAGTAGCTATCATCCCGTGCCTGCCACTTGTTAGCTGTGTGACTTTGGGCAAGACCATGCCTGCCCTCCCCTCTCCCCCGCCCCACCTCTGGCCTGGGTGCCCCAGCGATTCTAGCTCTGTGTTCCCACATACCCTTGCCCCTCCTCCTGGCCTGATGACACTTCAGCACCATCACCTCTGAAGCCAGGACCCCCTTCTGCCCTCAGCTCTGGGCTTGACCTCCACACGGTGCTTCCCACTGCTGGCTGGGCAGACCTCTGCAGGCCCGGGGCCAGGACCTGTCTGTGGAGCCTCATGCTGCCTTCCCCTCCCCGCACCCTCTACTCCCACCCTCACCCCCACAGCAGCCTGGGAAGAGAAAAAGAGATTTCCCAATCAGAGGAAAGCCAAAGCTAAGATGTGGAAGGCACGAGAATTTGATGGTATTCTTGAGTCACTGGCAAAGTTCCTGTTGTCTTTCCGTAGATCTCCTTCCGGCTTCCAAGGAGTATGGGGAGAGCTGGATGGTAGTCACAGCGCAGGGCCCAGGCTTGTCCCTAATTTGGCAGCCTTACAGTAGGCTCTGTGTGACAGATTTTTACAGGAATGCCCCCAGTGACTCATGCCTTCCAATGTAGACACCTCCCACCTGGGTTGGGCCTTGTGATTTGCTTTGGCCAATGGGACATTAGTAAACATAATACAAATAGAGATTTGAAAAGCACCTGCGCTTTGGGGCTTGCCCTCTGCTGCCACGTGAAGAAGTCTGGTAGCTTGCACCACCCGGGCTAGCTGCCAAACATGTGAATGAGACCATCTGAGGCTGTCTGCCCCAGTCAAATCTCCAGGCTGGAGATGCATGAGTGACCTCAGGTGAAACCACCAGAAGAACCACATTGCTGAGCCCAGCCCAAAGTGCCAAACCACAGAATCATGATCCTTGAGCAACTCAGATGGTTGTTATGTTAAGCCACTGAGTTTGGGGATGGTTTGTTATGCAGCAACAGATAACTGATACACTCTGCTTTTCTTCAGTGTCTCAGAGGCACCTCAACCCCAAGCACAAAATAGACATGTCATTGTTCACTTATTCCAAAGTCTGCCCCTCCCTGTGCCTCTCCTTTCACGAACTGGCACCTCCGTTCGCACATCTGAAGCTATCTGTGACAACTCCTTCATTTTCACCAAGCGCAGCTGATTTTATCTCTTTCTTTAATTTTGTTTTAAAGATTTTTTAAATTCATTTTTAGACAGAGGGGAAGAGAAGCAGAAAGAGAGGGAGAGAAACATCAATTGCGGGAGCCTCTTGAGCTCCCAATATTGGGGACTTGGCCAGTAACCCAGGCATGTGCCCTGACTGAGAATTGAACTGGCGACCCTTTGACTCACAGGCATGCACTCAATCCACTGTGCTACACCAGCCAGGACTGATTTTATCTCTTGAATTCAACTCTTCCTTCTCGTTTACTCCTCCCACCCATTTGGCCTCATCGTAGGTCATCCAGACCAGTGGTCATCAGAGTAGAGAACACACACCTCAGAAGATGCTCCAGACAATTCATACGGATTGCTGAAGGGGATATTAGTACTTCTAGCTTTACTTATTTTTATTTAAAAAAATAAAAAATTGAAGTCTATTAATAATAAAGGCTAATACTGTATCAGAATTTATATGTGTTAATTATTTCAGTCCTTTCAATAATTTGATGAAGTAGGGACCGTCATGTCACAGAGGTTGAAATGGAGGCAGAGAGAGGTTGAGTCATTTGCTCAAGGTCTCACAGCTAAGAAGAGGTAGAGGCTGGATGTGAACCAGTCTAACCCCAGTTGTTCTCAAAACTTCGTTAGAATCACTTTGAGAGGTTGGTAAGACAGAGTGCTGGGCCCCACCCCTGGAGTCCCTGATCAGTAGGTAGGGACCAGGGCCTGGAAACCTGTTCTTCTAACCAGTTTCCAGGGGGTGCTGGCCTGGGGGCCACACTTTGAGAACCACTGATCTACGTTATTCTGCCTCTAAAGGCACTTGGTGAAGTTTGCAGCACTGCAGATATTTAATATTTACATTAACCCAGAAGCCTCCTCCTACTTGCACAGGATGTCAGATAGCTTGGAAGCTGTCCTAGCTTTAGAAGGTGTCCTGAGGGAATATGAAGCCCTGGGAAGGGGTTAATTCGTGTTTCTCCATATTCATCAGGTTGCAACTAATTGCAGGTTTTAAAAAAAATCTTAACTCTTTATTATGGAAAATTTCCAGCACACGCACAAACAGAGAGAGCCTCCCATGGCCCGTTCCCAGCGTTGATGACTGTCCCTTAGGGTGGACCTTATTTTCGTTGTCCTTCTCCTCTTGTTCTCTTCTCTCTGCTTTTCTTTCATTCTTTCTTTGGCATAAAGTAGACCCCAGACATTATTCCATTTCAATGTGCTTCTCTAACAAAGAGGGGCTTAAATAAATCCCACTATGCTATTACCACATCTAACAAAACTAACAACAATTCCTGTGTATCTTATAATATTTATGCTATACTGATTCCCTGATGATCTCCAAAATGTTTTAATTTTTTTTATTTTTTAAAAGATTTTATTTATTTACTTTTAGAGAGAGAAGAAGGGAAGGAGAAAGAGAGGGAGAGAAACAGCAATGCATGGTTGTCTCTCACATGCCCTTTACTGGGCCCTGGCCTGCAACTCAGGCATGTGCCCTGACTGGGAATCGAACCACTGACCTTTTGGTTCCCAGGCTCGTGCTCAATCCACTGAGCTACACCAGCCAGGGCTCCAAAAAGTCTTTTTTAAGAGTTGGCTTGTGTAAATAACTTATTGTAGTTTACTTGGACTAGATTAGATTAAGTTGATTGGCAGATTAAATTACCTAGTTTTTAACTAACTAACCACAAAATGGACTAGTGGCTTAAATGAGTTTTGCAATACTTTCCCTTGTGCAAATTCTTTGTCAGTCACATTTAAGGTTTTAAAAAAATGTCAGTCTAATCAGCTGTCAAGAAGTCAGTCAACATAGTTTGAAATTATCAAGAAGACTCTGAGGAATGAATTTCCATCCACTATCAGTAATGGTTACCTTTAGACTGACATCCTCCTGATCAATAATTAGAAAATATATTTCACTTTGATCTTTCAAATTTTCTAGTTTGAATGTATCTACATTATAATGTACAAAATATATTTGTGCACCATGACATATAAATCTGGTGTGGACTAGAAAATGTTCTGGACTATAGGGAACCTATCCATTTGTATGGGGAATGCAGCCCAGCCCCTACTCGGAAAGGACAGTGGGGAGCAAGGTCGTCACATAGGAGCCACACTCACGGATAGGTTCTCCCGTGGGGAATCAGGCCTGCATTGTACCTAGGTTGCTATGAGTCTTCTTTTGCTAAAATTCCCTCACCCTGAATTGAGGCAGCAAATGCTTACTGCCTATCTCTAAAGTAACTTCCTAAAGTCTGTGCTAAACCTCCCAAGTATGGAGTGTAACCAGTTCAACCACTTTTCCCCTTGCATCTGAAACATTCTTCTCTTTGACATAATTAGCAACATCCTTTCCTCTTATCTGTAAAAGGTAATCACCTACAGGAAACCTGTGCATTGTAAACGAGGACCATCCTTGATGTAATGTGCCCAGAAAAGCAACAGAAGCCTGTCCAGGCAGGGGTCGGGGCCCTCTCTCTCACTCAGAGAGCGGCCATGCCGTCCCTTTTTTTCCACAGGACTGCTGTTATCCATGTGCATTTGTTCATCACAGCCACAGCATACAGACCCCATGGGCTGGGGTCCACATCAGTGGACAGTCTGAAAAGCCTGAAGCCACCACACCGGTGTCCCCCCTGGAGTCATGCCCCGTCTCCCACCCCCTATGCCAGCCCTGGGGCGGTCTCCTCCATCACCCGAACCCAAACTCATTACGTCCTCTTAGGTCGGCAGAATGAGGGTTGAATTCCTAACTGAACCCAGTGGGCCCACCACGCCCTGCCGCCTCCTGATGTTCCAACAACACTGCGTGGTCAAACCCCCACCTGGTCCGCTCCAGTGAGAGCACGTGCAATGGTTCCTGCTGTGCTCTTGACCTTCCGTTCTCACATGGTTAACTCCTACTGAACCTCTAAGACCTGACTGGGTAGTCACCTTCCTGCATGGCTTGTGGGCCCTCCTCTGTGCTTCCACATGGAGTGAGTGTCTGAAGACACTTTATATCTGTGGTAGCTGCACAGCACAGGAGTGAAGGACTTAGACCTGGTGCCAATCGACAGAGTTGGAATGCCGGCCCTGGCACCTGCTGGGTGTATGACAGGTGACCCTATGTCACTGTAAAATCGGGTCATGAAACATAATGGCCAAGTGTATGACACCCAGACCAGGCTGACTAAATTTAAATTGCGGTGCTTTTGCTAGCCAAGTGACCTTGGGCAAATTATTTAACATCCACACACCTGATTTCTTCATAGGAAAAACGGAGATCATAATAGTGTCCATGTCATGGGGTTATTGTGAAAGTTCAGTGAAAGCATTTAGAATAGTGCCTGGTATACAGTAAGAGCTCATTAAATATTAGCCCTAATTAGCATGTGTCTGGATCACACACTGGTTGTGATACAGGATTGAATGAATGAACGAATAAATGAATGCACTGAATCACACTGTATTGGATTGAAAAGAATTAAAGTAAGTGGAAATGAATTAGAATTGTGCCCAGGCCTTGTCTGTCTATAATACAAGGGCTCCGCTGGGCAAGACCATTGAGTCATTTAGGGGTTTCCCTCCCTGAGTCCTACTTTCCACTGCTGAGGGCCCACAGGTGCCTTCCCTTTGCTTCCAGCTGTCAGCAACACTTAGTTAATATCACTAAGTAACAAGCAAGTACTCAACCAAACTCAAGCATCAGCTTTATCTCAACAACATTGCTCAAGGAGGACTGTCCATTATCATAAACAACGTGTTGCCCACTGAGATGCTTGAAAACTTATCTCAAGTTTTGTAAAAAGCAAAAGCCACACCACTGTGGACATCCATCTTATTTACTGTTGCTGTCATCACTGTCTGAATATTTTTAGCCACATGTAAATGACCAGCCATCCTGCACTCCCCTTCAGTCATCCCTTATGGATCTGGAGGATGGAATGCAGACCCTTCAGCCTCCCAGTGAGAAGAGTCCTGTGGGTGGGGGAGGGGCAATAGAGTAAAGCCTCTAAGAGGAGGTTGGTATAGAAATGAGCAAGAGACTCAAACCAGATAACAAAAACAAAAAAACCCGACAATGTGAAATTCCTTGCCACTAAAGAGGGAGAAGTTGTGGGGAGCACAGAATTATGAAGACTATTTGGCCAGGGGAGACTGTGAGGGCACAGAAAAGGAGGCTCCTCACTCTGCCCTGACAAATCAAGGAAGGCTTCGTAGAAGAAGCGATGCCCGCGCTGGTCCTAAAAGAGAGCCTGCGTGGTTGGCGACGTCTTTGTGCAATCTGTGGAAGAAGGTGAGCGAACCCCTTTCCTTGGAGACTTGGTGGAAAGGAACACTTAGGCTCCTGGAGGACCACAGACCTCCTTTGCCCCTGCCCCTGCTTGCCTCTGCGACCACCTCTCCTCCGGGCACTCACCTTGTTCACTCCCCACGGTCTTGTGATCCTTAGAGGTACTGTCATAGTTGGTGAAAAAGAAGAAGATGAGAATGAGAGCCACCTCCAGCATTAAGGTCCACAGGGGCAGGCGGCCCCGCATAGACCTTGGGTACTTAGAGCCCATTCTGCGTGCGTCTCTGTGCATAGTTCCCCCAGCACCAGGCACTGCCCCTCTGTCCTCACACCCACGGGAGGGAGTGATGGGGAGATTCCCGCCAAAGGCCTTATCTCCAGCTGCAAGGCTGGCTCTGCTGGCCTGCCTATGGAGTTAACACAGGAGCAGAGGGACTACGACAGCGAGGGGGAAGAAATGCATGTATTCCAACACTCATTCATTCATTCACTCACTCAATCGATCATTCATTTACTTATTCATTCAACAAGAGGTTGCTGCCTTCCTACTGTAGGGCAGGCATTGTACTCGGCTTAAAAGAAGGTATCTATTCACTTGGCACCCAAACATAAGTTCACTTCCTTTAGTTTACCCTCACCATATTCCTGCAAGAAAGGCAGAGAATGGATCAACACTCCTGTTCTACAAATGGGGAAACTGAGGCTCAGAGGAGGCTTTGGATTGGCAAAATTTCTCTTTAAAGCCTTATCACATGTCAGCATCCAGTGAGCTCTTAATAAGGATGTATTAAATGAGAATGAATGGATGCATGAAAGCAAAGTGTAATACTAGGCTCTGGGGAGGATATAGGGAGGTCCCCTGGAGAACTAACTCCTCAGAGTTACATAGCTGAAATATGCATTTGAATCTGTACTTAAATCTACTTGTTTCTAAATCTCTTAAGGGGAAGTGGGAGAAAAGAAAGGAGCCTTGGATCCAGCTCTAATAAAAACCCGGCAGGAGTCCTGATCCAGTAATGGGCAAAAGCTGCCCCCACCTCTGGTCACCTCCTCACAGAGCAGCCCAGGACTCTGCTTGGGGCGTGAGCACCACGGGGCATTGAGGGGGGCCACTGGCCTCAGCATCGCCAACTCACAGTGCTGGACATCCCTTGAAATGGGATTTAGACTACCTGCTTTCTAACTCCGACCCTGCAGCTAATTTCTCCTATGGCCCACATGCCACAGCAGAAAGTCTGACGTATAATAAGCATCGAGAAAGGAGGAAGAGAAGGAGAGGGAGGGAAGAGGGGAAGGAAGGAAGGAAGGAAGGAAGGAAGGAAGGATAATTTCCTTATCTTTTACACTGGCCCCAGCCACTGGCCAGTATAGACTGAATTTGTGGGGCCCCAGAGAATAAAGCTAGGCTAGGAGCTGCCGGGAGGCAGATTTTGTCCCGCCATGAGTGGATCTTCATTGATCATTACAGCTGCCCAATGAGAGAGAGTGCTCATGAGGTAGTGAGCACCTTGTCACTAGAGGAATACAAGCAGAAGCTGATGGTTACTTGTCACAGATGTCCGGAAAGCGATTCATTCATACATGGATGGCAGCAGATTTTAATCACCCAATATAATCTTGTCATTTTATGTTCCGATGAAGAAACTAAGACCCAGAAGGCCATACAGTCAGTTGACCTCACTTCTTGCACAGTGCAGCTTTATTTAAAAGCAGAAAAAAATGAGAATAACCTAAATATCCAATAATAGGGGACTGGTTAAGTAAACCACAGGCACACACTTTGCCACCAATACGATGGTTCTGAACACATGTGGAAAAATCCAGAGGAAAATGTTTTTTAAGGTTTATCAAAAGTGGCGCAGAGGGTATTCTATTTGGTGAAAAAGCAGGTTACAGAACAGCGTGTATGGTATATTCCCACTTTTGTAAAATAATAATGAAACAACATGTTAATGCACGCCCGGGGGAAAATGTAGCTGCAAACCACTAACACTGGTTACTTCTGTTTTAGATGTTTTCGGGGGCGAACACTTACTAAGCGTTTACCATGGTATTTACCAAGTTGCTAGGCACTTAACGCGTGTAAACTCAGTCATGAACTGTGAGATGGGAACTATTAGTCTTACGTTGCAAATGAGGAACCTGAGGTGCAGAAAGATTAAGTGACTTGCCCAGGTTTACAGGGCTGGTAAGTAGTAGAGCAAGGATTTAATCCCAGGCCGTCTGACTTGTGCGTCTGGGTGTTTAGCCAATTGACTCTATCCCGGATAACTTCTAAGTCTTCTTCCATTTCCAAAAGTCTAGGGATGGAGGACTCTGAGCCCTCTGCTACCTCAACAGTAAATAAGGGAGCAGGTGTCCCGACTCCTAGTCTCCATTCCCTTCATGGCCACTCGGTTCTGATTTCTGGCCTTTTTCTGGCCATCGGCATTTTTTTTATGACCTGGGTACCCTAAGAAGGGAGTCCCCTGTGTGGGGGGAAAAAGCGAATGTGACCCTGCTGGCCTGGGTCCTGTACCAGCAGCTTGTAAAGCAGACAGCTAGACCTACCTAAGGGGCACCAGGCATCCCTTATTTATAGTTCAGCCAGATGAGCACAAGATTTCCAGTCGCCAGCAGCCCCTGTGCCTGGAACCTCCAGATGGTTGTGTTTACCAGCTGACAAACTCAGTGTGAATGGCAGCTGGTTCCACAGCCCTCCAAACCCCTGTGCATCCCGATCCTCAGTGAGGGCCTGGCTGCTTGACAAGAGGGCCAAGCTGCTCGCTGAACAGAGAGAGCTTTAGTTAATAAGGGAGATTCCCACCCCTCATGCTGTTGGCCTCTTGCAACAGATTTGTTCAAAGGGGAGTTTTCTCTCTCCTCCCCTGACTCTTGCAAAAGGCCCCTGTTTTCTGACAGCACTTCCAGGTTGTCGGCAGATCACCCAGGAGAAAAAGCACATGGGATTTAGAGCAGCTATGTCGTCAAACACGTAGAGTTAAATGTTATCTGTTGGGTCTAGGTGGGAGGCGAATGGCTTCACTGAGCAAACCTTTCAATGTTTTTTGTATATGTTTGAAATTTTTCGTAATACAACCCTGAGAAAAGAGCACTGTGCACCTGCTACTCCCTCTGCCTGAAAGAGTCCTCCCAACAGATATCACCAGGAGAACGGGGGCTTTTGACTGTTTTATCTTCAGCACCTGGTGCTCGGTCCACAGTAGGTGATTAATAAATACTTGGTGAATGACTAAGAGCTGCCATTTCTGGAATGCCAAGCACTGGACCAAGGTTTTTGCATACATTATTTCATTTAATCTCCCCCTCAAGCCTGCGGGTGTAGGCATCCTCACACCTGCTTCACAGGTGAGGAACGCGCTGCTCGGAGAGATGCTGTGAACACCCAGTCACATAGCGAGCCCATGGAAGAGCTGGGACCCAGCCCACATCCATCCCACGCCACGGCTTGCGCCATTAACTACGTTACAATTCTGCCTGCCCTTTACCAAACCATTTGCAGCTGCAGTGTCCTTATGAGTCAAGTGAGATGAGTTGCTCTGCCTTCCCACAGGATTATTATTCTTGTAAATATAAGAATACACGAGCATGCTTGGCACCTGTGTTGTAGAAATGAAGGTGAGCGACTGACGTCATGACGGCAGCCTCCAGGGCTGAATGACCAGGTGTGATGAATCAGGTCAGATGGACTTGCAGCTTTCACATGTGGTTGTGCATTTTACGTAAAAGCAGGACTCTGTGAGAATACCCACCACGCCCTCCTCACCTGAGTAAGACATTGTAAAACTCAGTCAAGGGCAATGACCAAGGGGATAAGTGGTCCCTCCATTGTCCCTCACAGAAGCCTGTCCATACCGAGGGTATGATATTGCTCTGGGCACACTCTGGTTCAAGTGTGGCTAAGTCAACGATTCATTCATTTAACAAACATGAGCTTCAGGGTAGGGCAACCTGGGTTCAAATCCTACCTCTGCTGTGTGACTGTGGGTAAGATGATCCCTTTGTCTGTTTCTTCATCTGTAAAGTGGAGGAAATCAGCATCAGTCTCGTAGGGTGCTTGTGACGATTAGATGGGGTAGTTCACATAAAGTGTTGGATGTGTAGAAAATGTTCCATAAATGTTAATAGTTATTATTGCACAAGCTTGCTGCGTTTACTCTAGAAAACTGAAAATGCAGGAATGCATAAAGCTCACATAAACATCCACGATTTCAGAATCTCCAAAAAGCAGCTCTACTTCTTTAGGCACATATTCTTTCAGAATTTTTTTGATTCATGTGAATTCATTTTTGTCCCTACAAAAATGGGATTATATAGCGTCACTGTTTGGTAGCTTGATTTTTTTTCATGAACAGTAGATCAAAAGCAGTTTCCAAGCCAGGAAACTCTTTCCACAGCACTGCAGCATGCAGGCTAAGAGCACAGAGCACAGGCTCTGACACCAGACTTCCTGAGTTTGAATCCCAGCTCTATCACACTTACTGTGCAACCTTGGGCAAATGACTTCACTGCTCTGTGCCATAGTTTTCTCATCTGTGATATTGCACCAGTTACAATCTCTGCTTCATAGAGTTGTTGTGAGAATTGCATCAAAAGGCATACAGGACCCGGAGCAGTGACTTAACCCAGCAAGCGCTACGTGTCATCAGTCTCTATGCTACGCTGACTTCCGTGGTGAGAGTGTGTGATCATTTGTTAGACCAGCCCCTTTTGTTAGATAGCTGTGTGATTTCTATCTGGTTTCCATTCTAAACACTACAAAGAACATTGTCTATGAACAGGGTTCTCTGGGGGATACAGATACATGTATCCAAGTGGCCATCTCAATGTCTGAACTTTTCTGTGACCACTGGGGTGGAGCAGGAATGAAACTTGAGGCAGTTGGGCCAGCTCTGTGTGGTGGGCTTGAGGGGGTCACAACTGCTGAAAGAGGTGGGAATGCAATTTCCTTATTCGTAAATCAGGGTGTGATGATGTGTCTCTAGGCTATCCTGAGCTTGGTTGAAGCTCAAGTTCAAATTCCAACCCGTTGCCCATCAGAAGTCCTAGGAAAAGAGGAGGGATAGACCTGAATTCCTGTCTGGTCCTTAGTCTTTTGAACGAGAGCAAATGAGCTGCCTTCTCTCTTTTACTCATCTGTAAAATGGTCACTGCTGATCTCCCCTTGTTTCTGGATGGTGGCAGAGGTGTGGGAAGCTGGGGGGACTCTGTAGCAGGCCAGCCTCATCTCAGGCCAGTTCTGTGCCCTTAGTATCCTGAAGGGCCATTTCA